TCATGTGTGTTTTTAATCTTTTGCCTGTACTCTTGTGAAGAACGTTGTTGTTTTTTCCTTTTCTTCTGTGTTCAATACTTTCTTAAGTGTTTCTTATAGAGATGGTCTTGTGGCAGCATAGGTTCTTAGGGATTGGATATCTGGGAAAGATTTCAATTCTCCCTCACTGATGAAGCTTAGCTTGGCTGGGTAGGTATTCTTGGTTGAAATTATTTATCTTTTAGAACTTTGAAAATAGGGCTCCAAGCTCTCCTAATCTGGAGGGTTTCTGTAGATAAATCTGCTGCTGTTCTAATTGGTCTTCCCTGGTACATAGTCTGACCTTTTTCTCTTGCTGCTTTTAGAATTTTTTCTTTTATACCTACTTTGTTTAGGCAAATTATTATATGTCTGGGAGTTGGTCTTCTCATTTGTTGTCGTGCAGGGGTTCTCTGAATCTCTTCATCCTTGTTTGAATTTTTGATTTTTTGAAAAAATTTTAAAAATTTTTTGAAAAAATTTTGTTTGAATTTTTTCATCCTTAATGAGATGAGGGAAGTTTTCTTGAATGATTTCATGAAATGTTTGTTCCAGTGTGGCCTCAGTTTCTCTCTCTGCCTCAGGAAGGCCAATTACTCTTAGGTTTGGTCTCTTGAAGTGATCATTCATTTCTTGAAGGTTTTGTTCTGTCTTTTTGAGCTTCTTTTCTATGCTTTTGACAGTTTGGGTTAGTTCTGTGTTTTGGTCTTTGAGCTCTGAGATTCTTTCTTCTGCTTGGTTAATTCTGCTTTCCATGCTTATTAGTTTGTTATTTATTTCCATCACAGTATTCTTTACTGCTGTTATTTCTGACATCAGCTCCTTCCTATTTTCCTCTTGTCTCTCCTCAATTTTTAAAATTCTCTCTATTAATGTCTTGATGTCTGGGTTTGTTGCATGTAACCAGTCATTCTGGGAGCTCTTCACTGTTTGTGTTCCGGAATCTGTTTTCTCAGTGTCTGATCTCCCATGGGTCTGTGTGAGACCTATATTCTTCTTTTGGTTTTCTTCATTTATGTGGTACTCCCCCCCCCCGCCTTTTCCTTTCCTCCACATCACAGCCTTCTTCAATTCTTTTATTCATGGGTAGAGGGATTGGTTTTACTGCTGTTTGTTCAATCTCCTATTCTTTATGTATGTCTTCTTACTTTGTTCAATTCTGGGGTTGCACTGTAGGTTGGGGGTGGTCCTTTTTTGCAGTTTTGAGATTTACTTAAGGGGGGAGCTGTGATTCAAAGTCTATCTGCAGGTCCTGGTATTCGCCAAGAGGTGTATGGATAATCTGAAACCCACTTCCCACCGCCTTGGAATCTGTCTGTGCAGTGGGGCTGTAGGTTTACTCCCTGAAATAAAATGTGGGTAGGAGAGGGAAGAGAATGGAGCAGACAGTGGGGGGAAGAGTGGGGTGGAGAGAGAGAGGAGTAAGGGGGGAAACAGACAAGTGTATCAACAAATGGAGAGAGAGACCTAAACTGAAACAGATAAAAACAATAGGCCATGGCTACAGACTAACCAGCTCCCATACAAGAAAAAAAAAAAACATACAATGACGCTAACATACAAGCTAACCAACCACCTTATTGGTGTGCTGTTCCTCTATACAAAGATATGGTTTACAGAGAGGAGAAAAGAGAAGAAAAGGAAGAGAAAAAAAAAAGGAATAGAACAATAGGAATAGAATGAAGTCATTAAACTAATAGAACCAATCGAGCACACTCTGAGACTTTTCGTTTAAGTTCAATGTCCTTTCAGCTCTGATTCCTAGCTTTCTTTTCAAGCTGATAAATTAGTTCACAGTTAGGGTCAGTTGCCCCTGGCCTGCTGTGAAGAACAGTTCAGATCACCCTCTGTTCACCACTCAAATCTGGCCCGTGTCCCTTTTTCAAGCTTGCTTCTCCCATTTCAGTGTTATTACCATGAATCGCCAGCAGGTGGTGCTATCTCTCAGCTACTCGCCCCAGAGGGGGTGGGGCCAGACAGGAGCCAGCGGATTGGAAGCCTGCCTCAGGGCACACGGGAGGAGACCCACGGCCAGCAGGACGTCAAGGTGGCAGCAGAGGTGGCAGCGATCCTAGCAGATCTTGCCTGCAGGGGCTTCAAGGACAGAAGTTGTGGATTGCCTCAGGCACAGGTGGCGTGATGCACTATTGCTGCCATGGAGGCGGTGGCGGCTCCAGCGGCTGCTGTGTCTGCGGCTACAGTGGCTGTCCAGACCACTGCAATGCCCCAGCGGTGGCAACGGCCGAGCTCCGTGTGAAGAGCAGGCTGCTGATGTTGGGGTTTGCAGCCCGCGGGGAGAGAGCCAGAGACCCTCTGCATTCTACTTTGCAGAGGGTTTCATAGACCAGGTTGCCCTGTCACCATCTTGCCAGAAGTCTCTGTGTAGTTATTCTTAATGTCATTGTTAGTATTCAGTCTTTAGTTCCCCCCGAGTCTTCTTTCTTCAGAGGTAAGCAGATCTCTTTTTCTCATCAGACACATTTTCAACTCCTTTCTGTGAACCTGGCTGCTCTCCTATGGGCATGTCTGAATATGTCAGTATCTTTCTGAGGGGGTGGAGTCCCGCTGAGTTGAATAGTCTTCATACTGATTCAAAGAGCACTCACTAATGAATGAGTGCTTAGTATCCACTAGAATGTATGGTGATCAGTTGGTATGCCTCTTCCCATTTAACTTTCACAGTCATTCTCATTTCTTCATCACATTTATTATGAACAAAGCAACTTCCCATTCATTAAAGGCTCAGAGAGACAAGGCCACCCTGCCACTGTACAGTACAGTAGTGCAGTGTGCACGGCACAACTGTGTGCAGCAACCTTGCAGAGAAGTAAAAACAACTTGCTGGAGGCCAAACGTCTCATTCTAGTTGGTCTGAATCTGTGCTTTATTTTATTTTTTGAGTTGGGGTCTCACTCTGTCATGCAGGCTGGAGTACAGTGGCACAATGACAACACACCATAGCCTCAACCTCCTGGGCTCAGGCGATCCTTTTGCCTTAGTTTCCTCAGTAGCTGGGACTTCAGACACGCTACCACACCTGGCTAATTTTTTGGTAATTTTTGTAGAGACAAAGTCTTGCTATGTTGCCCAGGTTGGTCTCAAACTCCTGGGTTCAAGCAGTCTTCCAGCTTCGGCCTCCCAAAGAGCTGGGATTACAGTCAAGAGCCACTGCACTAGGTATACCGCTCTCACCTCTGCCTCCTGTATTTTTCTTTCTTTTCATTCTGAAACCCTTGCATCATCTGGTGGGTAGCTAGGAAGACATCCTGAAAATAGCTTTCTGCCTTGGATAACCCCTGTGGTTGGAAAAACCCTTAATTTCTTATGGAAAGTGGGGAGTTTTCTGTGGCTAACAACACCATTTTTTCCCCCTGTGACTAACAGCAGGAGAGATGGCATAGTTGGGTGGATCTAGATTTAAATCCCAGCTCCGCTACTTGCCTTAAGCAAGTCACTTCATCTCTGAGTCTCAGTTTGTGCATTGCAAAATGGAGTTAACAGGAGAACCTACCTTCTAGGGTTGCTGTGATGATATAATCTAAGTAAAGCGCTCAGCACAAGACAGTAAGTGGCGTGATCATGGCTCTGTTGGTTTGGACTGGAAAGGGGTGCGGTTGTGGTCCCCAGCTGTAAGCCCTCTCTTACTGACCCGAACTGGGTCCGTTTGCATTAGCCCATGAGCAACAGAAAGCCAAATGCTGAGGCATCAGGGGGTTTTCTTTTTTGGTAAAGTTTATCATGAGTCAACTGGCAAGGAAAAAAGAGGCAACACTCAAATCTATCTCCCTAAGCTGGGGTCGGGGACAACTTTTTTTTTTAGTTGGAGTCTCACTCTGTCGAGCCTGCAGCCTCGACCTGCTGGGCTCCGGCGATCCTTCCAACTCAGCCTTCCAAGTGGTTGGAACTACAGGCACGCGCCACCACACCTGGCTAATTTTTTGTTTTATTTTAGAGATGAGGTCTCGCCAAGTTGCCCAGGCTGGTCTTGAACTGGTGGGCTCAGGCAAGCCTCTCACCTCGGCCTCTCAAAGAGCTGGGATTATAGGTGTGAGTCACTGCACCCAGACAGGGCACAACTTTTATAGGTTGAAGGTGATGAGAGATGATCTGATTGGATCTTGCAAAGAGGTGGTGCCAGGGTTTGATCTGATTGGATCATGGATCACATCACATAGTTCCGCTTCTTTTTTCTTTTTTTTTGAGTTGGAGTCTCACTCTGTCGCCCAGACTGGAGTGCAGCGGCCGCTCCTGGCCACCGCAGCCTCGACCTGCTGTGCTCCGGTGATCTTTCTGCCTCAGCCTTCCAAGGAGCTGGAACTACAGGCGCGCACTACCACGCCCGGCTCATTTTGACTTATTGTAGAGATGATGTCACCAAGTTGCCCAGGCAGGTCTCGAACCCTCGGGCTCAGGCAGTGCACTCACCTCAGCCTCCCAAAGGCACAAGATTACAGGCTGAGCCACCGACCCCAGCGTAGTTCCGCTTCTTTTTTTTTTTTTTTTTTGAGTTGGAGTCTTACTCTATTGCCCAGACTGGACTGCAGTGGCTGCTCCCGGCCACCGCAGCCTCGACCTGCTGGGTTCCGGTGATCCTTCCACCTCAGCCTTCCAAGTAGCTGGATGCGCGCTACCACACCCGGCTGATTTTTGATTTATTGTAGAGATGAGGTCTTGCCAAGTTGCCCAGGCGGGTCTTGAACCCGCGGGCTCAGGCAATCCACTCACCTCAGCCTCCCAAAGGCGCAGGATTACAGGCTGAGCCACCGAGCCTGGCTGTAGTTCCGCTTCTTAATGCAGTCCCCATGCCTCAACCCCAGCACTTAAGTTCCGCCTGTGGTTGTAGGTTTGGTTCCTCTGGGCATGCTCAGCCTGGAGGTCCATGGCAATCGGAAAACAACTCACTGTTTTATTACACAAAAGGGAACCAGAATGGGCTGTTCTGGGGTTACTCCTCCACCGTGGTCCCTTCTCTTCTCACACAGGTTGGGGCTGCTGGTTTGTTTCTACGATGACCTCGAGTTGCTGGACGCAGCTGTGGCCCAAGTCCTGCTTCACCAGATGATCAAGTGCAGCCACCTGCGGGGCTTCCAGGCTGACGTTCAGAAGGTGCAGCAGGGTTGCGAGGCTCTGAGGCCTCTAACTCGGTTTCACTAACCAGAGAAATGGGGGGAACAGCTTTGCCTGGCCCCTGAGGGTAGACATGGCGTGAATCGGTCTCAGTCCCACCACTGCAGATGGTATCTCAGATACTGGGATGAGTCTAACACGGGAAGGAAAGACAGAAAAAGACAAGGGAATATACCCTGGATAGATCAGAATTCAATCCGAACAGCCATGTCAAACTTAAAGGCAAATGGATCACCTGGAGGTCTTAAATGTGGGTTCCGATTCAGGAGATGTGGGCTGGGACCCAGGACACTGCCCTTCTAACAAGCTTCCGGATAATGCTGAAGTGCTGCTCTGGCGCATGCTTGGAACTGCGGGACACAAAGCAGGAGCCGGGTTCTCCAACCTGGCTCTACATTATAACAGCCCTGCCAGGCTCTGCCCCCGGAGATTCTTGATGCTGTTGGTCTGGGGTGCGGCCTGAACATGGCATGTTTTTAAAACTTTTCTGATGATTCCAATGCAGCCAGGATTGAGAACATGGCATTGGAGGGTGTTTTGGGTTCTAGACCAGGTCTGGACAGATTAACAAACGCAGACGGTCTCCTTTTTCCTTCCCTACTCTCTCTCTCTCTGTCTTCTTTCTTTCGTTCAAGTCTCAATTCTGTCTCTTTCCTCTTCACTTCTTGTAGTCCTTTCCAATTTTTTCTTTTTAGATTCAAAAGATGTTAAAACAAGATGAAAGAAAATTTTGATAAAGCCATCAATAATTCTGCAGCAGTTCATTCATTTGACATTTGAGGTCGTGGCCAATCTTGGTCAATGCATATTTTTGTTTTCCAAGGAGAAGAATCCCTCTCAAGCAAGCTCAAGAAAAAACAAGAAAATAAATGTATTTCAAGGCACAGGGGTCTTAAAATGTGGCAGCCCTAAGAAGAAAGTCAGATACAATTAGATGTGAGGGTGCGCTTTGGGATCATCTGGCTCAGTAATTTTCAAACTGGAGGATAATCAAAATCACGGGGCGGGGCGGGGG